TGCCTTTATATGGCTTTTGTCGCCTCTTGCAGTTCTTGCAGCCGCCCCTCCCAACCTGCCACCCCGGGCCATAACCCTCTTGACCCTAGGGTAAATACGCCCCTCGGAGAGGGGGCGGGAGGAGGACGCTCTAGCCGCTCCCCTCCGACGTAGACGGGTGGGCCGAAGAAGGCAGACAGCCGTGACTGCCGGTCTTTGTCGGCCCTAAAGTGGTCTGGGCGCGGCTTGGCCAATGCGTGCCGTAGGTGCCATTCAGCATAGGCCACACCGTGTGGGGATTGCCCAGTACCCTAGCGCAATCCCCCAGAGGCGTGTCGCTCGGTCCAGTCGTTGGGCCGGGCCAGCCCGGGGGCGTCCCAGTGAAGTGGCGCCGATCCTGAGATGCTCCTACAAGGGCGTAGGAGGGTACCGGTAGTTTTTAGTGAGTAGGACCGGCGCTGTTCCGCGTCGGGGAGTCCCAGACACGTCGCGTGCATAGCCAGCGCGCGATATGGTCCGTAAATATAAAGGGCAAATACGCCCCTGCTTAGGTGTAGTGATGAGCAACGTAAGGTTCAGATAGAACCATAAGATGTTACCAATAAAGAAGAGTTTTAGCTTAACTCGACCGTCGCGCGCCGTGTTTCACAATTTACTGTATCATTCATTGCGTGAAGTCACTAGCAATAAATATAAATTCTCATGAGCTATTAGAGCAGTTCAAGAGCTCGTGACGAGCACGGGCGTGTGGGATGATCATTGTCGTTTCAATTAATACAATGACGCCGGTCGGCGCTGAGATGGTGCGGCGTACCAACGTAAACGGTGAATGGGGCTCTAGTGAACTCGGTACCAGAGATATAGGTAGAGTGCGATCAAGATCTTATGGTACTAAGATGATATTAAAAGGAAGGCGTTGCTGGTGAATAAGTGGTGAAAATAACGTAAATTACGTAAATAACATTTAGTTCATATTAATGTAAATTTATACGTGGCAATGACTAATGGAAGTCTGGTGCAATACTTTGGTACCATGTAGCTATCCTGATGATTTAGCTAAAGATGGCCATAGGAACTGCGTTATTAAACAAGATAACGCCATCGAGTTTGTGCTCGAATGATTTGTCTTGATGAGCACGTTGTCCCTACATGGTATTCAGCACAGAACACAAAAGAGGTTAGGTTAGGTTAGGGAGGTTAGTTAGAGAGGCGCTGGGATGGCGCGGCGTACCAACGTAAACGGTGAATGGGGCACTAGTGAACTAGTTACCAGAGATATAGGTAGAGTGCGATCAAGATCTTATGGTACTAAGATGATAATAACAGGAAGGCGTTGCTGGTGAATAAGTGGTGAAATAAGGATTGTCATGTTCGTATAATCTCGTTATAATTTACAATGATTAGGAAAGAGTAATAGGAAATAAGAATCGCGGTCGTTAATATCAGTAATACGATTAAAAGTTAAATTTTTTATCTAAAAGATATCCTGAAACCAGTTTTATAAAAGCCGAATCAAAACAGCTTTTAATAAGTAAATTTGAATATAAAGTTTTTTTTATTTTTTTTTTATAGGACGATGACGACGGCGATGCACCATAAATCGTCTTCTGTGGACGCAAAGGTGTAAAAGAGACAGAAATAGTCAAATTGATGATACTCGTGCTTTTAGTGGGTTCCGACAATAATATGCAAATCAAAACATGTAATCGATAAACCTTGAGGTATCGTCTATATTTAGGGTTGGCGTTCCAATTTACATTGGGGCATTATCGGTAATAATCCTTTGCTAACAAAACAGTTTTCTATGAATAGATTGACGGACAAAAACAATTTTTTTGTGTCGTAGTCACGCGTCAACATAGAGCAACACAGCCGACGCGGCTAGGAGGGGAGTAGCCATCATGACATAATAGTACTGAAATCATTCTGCCGCTTTTTTCGGGGGGGGGGGGGGGAGGAATATTTATTTGTTTATTTATTTTGGTTACATGGAAGACCAACAGCTTATCTTAATATACTAGAAATGAATAGTAGCGACAAAGAGCCAATTACAGGTCCTCACATCTAGACATAACTTAAAAGTATAAAGATTAAAAGTATAACTATTTGCACTGTCTAATGTAGAAAAAAATCTCTTAAATATAGTTTTATAAATGAGGTCCTTATGATAAATAACAGAATAACGAATTACGCACATGTTAATAACTAACACTTGTCTATGAATTTAAAGTCTGAAATAGATGTTTGTTATTATTACATTAATTTTTATCTCCAAAAAACAAACGAACAATGTTACGTCTAATCGACGCTTCGCTAGTACTATATGCACACAAATGCAGTCCAACATCCTTTCGCTAAATCGAAATTTTATTACGACACTCACACATAAAAAATGACAGCGCTAGATCGGGCGTACATGAAAATTAAGATTTTTTTATTGATAGATCTGAAATAAGTAGTTAGTTGATAAAACAGGGAGAAAAACAGCCCTTGCTGAGTTTCTTGCCGGTTCTTCTCAGTACAAGGTCTCCTGCCGTAGATTTACGAACCGATTGTATATTGAACATATGTGCTTGTAACAGCCTAAACTGAATAAATGATTTTGATTATGATTATTATGATTAGTACTGGCGAGTTGATTGTTTTGTCAAACAAGTCCGACGATTGAATTTTAACAAAATAATATTCAACTAACTCAAATATGAACACCATTACGCATTAAATTGACTACCTCTAACAAATATGCAATTTACATTGTAATAGTGTACATAAAGTTATTTTATTTGGAGTCATCTAATTTAATTTCAAACTCAAAACTCAAACTCCTTTATTCAGTCTAGGCTGATACAAGGTCTTGTAAAAGTCAAATGCAACGCCATCGGTTCGAAAATCTACGGCGGGAGACCTATTACTGAGAAGAACCGGCAAGAAACTCAGCAAGGGCTATTTTTTTCTCCCTGTTTTGTTTCATACAGTGTCATCAATTGAAAGATGACATCAAAAACTGAAAACATTTATTGTGTTGATGTCAACTTTCTACACATTAATATTATTAATTAACAATAAGTTAAGTGTAGCTAGGTACTATTTTTTAATTTAGAAGTGGCGATTAAACAATTCTCAACCAAATTAGCAAAGTAAAACGACTTAGTTATATTAAGCCCAAGGTGCCTTATCATTTATGAAATATTTAACAGTATAGTAATCTTTCTTAGGGATACAATTTAGTATAGTAGAAACGTAAACAATAAATAAATAAAGTTTCGTGCATTAACACGTAAAAACTAGTTTTATTTACTAAATTTATATGAAATCTAACAGACATTGACAATCACTACCTATATGAATAGGAACCTACTTGTTCCTAACATTCGATATACATGTATTGACACAATGAACTAAATTAAACACAATAGCTCATAAAACAGAAGGAGGCAAGAATGTAACATCAATTGGTCCTATTTTAGCTGAAGGTGTGGTTGCTTCGGTCAGAGATATGACAATAATATTTATCGACCATCTTTAATAGGTACTCGTATTCACATTTCTCAGAGGTTTCAAAATCGTTGCTTTAATTATGTTCGTCTACAGATTTCAATCATTCTGTTGTCATAAAATACATAGTCCTCGAACCCACCCACCCCTTCGAAAAAGAAACACCGAAAGTTATCGTTATTTTTATTGTGGTCTTCTGAAATCTACCCATGAAACTTTACCAGCAAAATACGCTTTCATAGAAAAAATGCTAAACTTGTATACAATTGAATTTGGTCTCAAATCAAAGCCAAAATTATTTGCTACATAAAACTACTTTTGCCTTATTTTTAGTGAATCGTGGAAAGAAGTTATATAATGATTAATATTTTTTGATATGGAAACTCTAAATCTTCAAGGGACAGAATTTTACTTCAAAATTTTACTCAAGTAACTGTAAAAACCATTATTCCTTTGCTTTTTCTAAATAAAAAACCAAATGTCAATTTGAAAATCCTAAAATACAAACAAAAAAAAACATTCGCATTTCGCATTCGCTCCCGCGAACTGTGATTGTGAATGTTCTCTGCTGTGATTGCCTTTTTATCCGTTATTTCTCTTGACGACCCGGCTACATATAGAGATTATATTGACAAACCTACGTATTTGACATTGACAGCTAGCTGCTGATGACAAATATTGCCAGACTACGTTACCCAATTATGAAACACAGATAAAAAAATTAAAAAAGTATACAACTTTGGCACAAAATACCGGGTGTCCTTTTATCATTTATTTTAAGTAATAGCTCCTATTATATTAATTTTACTTTAAAAAGATATCGTTTAACTTACAAAAGGCTGCCTATAACTCTTGCTACAGTTTTGTATTCTTGTAATGAATAATCTAAGCAGACTACAATGAAAGTCGCATCTGAAGTGAATCAACGTGAGCTGTAACATCAGTTATTAAATAAACCAACTGTCGTTTTAACAGTTTTACAAATAACAACAAAAGTGTTATATCCTGTACATTAGTATCTTGTTTCGTTGGCAGTTGGTCTATTTATTGTTGAATTCTTCATTTGACAAGTTTACCTTTTTTTTTATTACGCAGGTAAAACCTCTTTTTACAGACGTTGGTGCCCCTTAAGGCACACCAACGAACGGACCTCACACCTGGCCTCTCGCAAGTCTCACGGGTGCGAAACGGATAAGCCGTTAAGCAGTCCGCGTGGCTTACGAGCGCTTACGGCATACTATCCGCTAAAAACATCCTGCGAATACCCTCTACGCTGTTTAAGTGCGGAACCGCGAGATCCCGTTGAAGGACTTCACCGCATCTCCGCACCCAACAGCCTCCCGGCCTAGCCGGGGCTCCACGGCAGGGATCACCCGAGTATTTCGGGAGATCCCGCAGACGTGATTGACAAGTTTACCTACAACTGAAAAATGTTTCAATAAAAACCGTCGTGTTACTTTCCTCACACAGTATTCACGTAACTCAATCTCTCCCAAATATTCTAAAGGACTCTTTTTGCTCCACAGCTAAACCCCCACGTGAACGACTTCCAGCGGCGATATGTGAGCGAAGTGAGAAGATGTAGCGAGATGGAGCGGAAGCTGCGCTGGGTAAGCGGGGAGCTTCCGGAGCCGCCGCCACCGCCCAAGCCGGGCCCGCGCTCGCTCAGCCCCAGGGAGATTAATATACTGGAGGTAAGAGCATGTCTACTTTACCTCGTCAATCCCTAAACGGGGATCCCGCGGCTTCGCGCTAAGCAGCTTAGAGGGTGTTCGCAGGGTTTTTAGCGGATATTATGCCGTAAAGCGCCCGTAAGGGTTACGGGGTCCTCAGTGGGCAGCCACTGCTGGGGCTCGTAAGGCTTGCGGGAGCCAGGTGTGAGGTCTATTCGGCGGTGTGCCTCTTTAAGGCGCCGTCGTCTGTAAATAGTATTTTTTGCCTGCGTATAAAAAAAATGAATTACATAACGGTTTGAGAGCGAAGTGAGCAGATGTAGCGAGATGCAGTGGAAACTGCGAAAGCCAGACCTTCGCTAACTCAGCCACAGAGAGATTAATTTACTGGCGATGAGACCTTGTCTGCTATATCGCGTCATATTTGTATGACGGCATGCCCATGCATGCCCAAGCATGCACGCAAATGGGTATGGACCCAAGCTGTCAATATACTGGAGGCAACACATTAACTGCCATATCTCGTTTTCAGAAGTTATGTAAGCGAAATGAGGAAATGCAGCGATATGGAGCGGAAGCCTTAATTTTGCAATGTCCTTATTAGTACTTATAGTTAAGACAGCTCGTTGGTACCATCTAATAGATGATCAATCAATTGAAATGATCTCGAGAGAATCACACCATTGCCGTTTCTTTTTCAGGAAAGAATCGACTACATAGAATCGGAGATTCAAGAAATCACAAGAAACGCTCAGAACCTGAAGACGGATTACCTATCGCTGATTGAATTGAAGATCCTCATAGAGAAGACACAGACATTCTTCCAAGACCACAGTGCCCACAGGAAGATCTCAGCTTCTGTGCAGATTTATAATAATGAAAGTCTTGGCCACCTTGGGTTCATTGCTGGAGTGGTCGCGACGGCGCGGGTGCCTTCATTCGAGCGAATGCTGTGGAGGATATCGCATGGAAACATATTTTTCAAGCAAGCTCAGATCGATCAGCCCTTGAAGGATCCCGTGACGGTGAGTATTTTTATGTTATATAAATAATTGTGAATATTTTTACTGAGAGAGCTTGGCTGCAATAACAAGATTATGAAATATTTTTAGGATTCCGTACCCAAAGGGTAACGGGGCCGTATTTCTAAGACTCTGCTGTCCGTCTGTCTATCTGTCTGTCACCAGGCTGTAATCTCATAAACCGTGATGAATAGGCAGTTGATTTTTTTTTTAGTTTTTTTGCCGCTTTAGTTGTTACAGCGGCAAAAACACAAATAATAAATATTAAAAATAAGTAAAATAAATATTTAAGGCCTCTGATTTTTTTGCTGTTGTTTACGCTATATTTTAACAACGGCAACAGGTAGGCCTGTATTTTTCACAAAGTATTTAATTGTATGTTTACTTTAATAAATAATTAAATTTAAATAAAATCAGTATTTAAGGGAGTCTCACATAAAAAAGACGTAATTTTTTTGTCGTTTTCTGAATGATATTATAATATAGTGTCTAATATTGTATAGAGAATGTTACGTAATAATATTAAGAGAAACGTTTGTATTTTTATATATTATTCAAATCTGGTGGCAGTTTGCGCTAGTTACGATCAAATAAATTTATAAGAAACTAGCTGTGCCCTGCGGTTTTACCTGCGGTTTATTAGGGATATTTTCCCACAATAAAACGTAGCCTTTGTGTGAATCCAGGGTGTCAGCTCCTTAACAAATATTCAAATCACTCCAGCCGTTTAGACGTGAAGAAGTAACAAACATACACACATACGCACTCACAAACTTTCGCCTTTCTAATATAAGTGTGATTATTATTTTACGCTTGTAATCAAATATATATAGATTTGATTATAAGCGTAAAATAATAATCATATATATCATATAATATATATATATATATATATATATATATAAAACTCAAAGGTGACTGACTGACATAGTGATCTATCAACGCACAGCCCAAATCACTGGACGGGCATGCAGGTAGATGTTATGACGTAGGCATCCGCCAAGAAAGGATTTTGACCAATTCTACCCCCAAGGGGATAAAATAGGGAATGAAACTTTGTCAATTTTAAACCGATCGGGCTGAGACTTTGCATGCAGGTAAGAAGAAGAATCATAGATGAATGTCATTGTGTATAATACAAGCCTGAGAACAAAAACTGTAGTCTACACTTCAGCTCTACACCGAAGCGAAGCGAGGGCGGGCCGTTAGTAAAATATAAGTTTTGCGACCATCCGAAACAAAATGAATAGTGAAAAAGAAATCACGCCTTTACACACATTTGCCAACACTAACAGCATAATAGTCTGTTATCAGTAAATGTAACTATAGGTACACACATCAGTATAAATATCGTCGATATTTATACTGAGTTTATTTTTGTCTGTCTAGCGCTGTTTCATTTAATACTCTACGCCCATTAAGGGATATGACGGCACATTATTTGTGTTTATTTATACATTTCCTAAACGCATAAAGGCGCGATACACTTGGTCGCTGGCCCGAATACGGATGCCAATGGAATTCGGGTAAACGACTAAGTGTAAATGAACATAGTCGAGTACGCAGCTTTGGTTACCCGACACTGTCTTCCAGACCTTCATCATCATCATCGACCCATGCTCGTCCACTGCTGGACATAGGTCTCTTCTAATGCACGCCACTGCTCCCGATTTTCTGCCACTCTCATCCAGCCCACTCCAGCCAGCCTACGAAAGTCATCATCCCATCTTGTCCCAGGGCGTCCTACACTACGTTTACCGAGTCGCGGTCTCCACTCAAGAACTTTACGGCTCCATCGGCCGTCAGTTCTGCGGCTAATGTGACCAGACCAATTCGGTGGGCTATATATATATATATAAATTCCAGACCTTATTCTAGTGTAAATATTGCTTCGGGTGCCCGAATCGGGCGAACGACCAAATGTAATTGAGCCATAAGAGTGTCGTTAATCCAAATGATTGGTGATTGGGATGGAAAGTTGAATTTTAAATCCTCCTCCGACGAACAAAGTAATACTTGTGCAAGTCCAAAGATTTTCTATCGACACCTGACGTTATTAATTGTGTTATTAATATCACAACACATAAATAACCTTTCAATACACAAAATAATAATGAGGAGCTCGATGGCGCGGGTGGTTAGCGCGTTCTGTTGCGATCGTTGAAGTTAAGCAACTTTCGCAGTGGTCGGTCATTGGATGGGTGACCAAAAATTTATTATCTCTCCTCCGTGCTTTGGAAGGCACGTTAAGCCGTTGGTTCCGGCTGCATCTGCAGTCGTTAGCACCCGCCAATCAGCACTGGTTCCGCGTGGTGGGTCATGGCCCAATCTCCCTATTCCCTCCATAGTGAAGGCCAGTGCCCCAGCAGTGGGGACATTAATAGGCTGATGATGATGACACAAAATAATATACTAGCATCGGATGTTGCAACAACCTAAGCGAAGAACAAGTTAAGTTTATTACAGAGATTTTTGTTTTATTTTACATCATTCAAATCACATTCCTAATTCGGTGAACAGAAACTAAACACAAAACTAGTTTAAGATCATTAAAAAAGGGGGCAAGTATTAATTAGTGCAGACCGTTTCATTAAAAGGTCAGACAGACGTCAAATGTACCGGTTTTCACAAATAAATATTCCGATGTCAATATATATTTTACTTCACCAACTCTTTTAACTATTGTAAGATATAATGAAATACGGTTATAATAATATAATGCAAAGGAAAATAAACAAAGAAAAGAGGCTAAAAATTGATCGTCGTCGAAAAAAAACGACGGGTTGCACTCCGGGAGTGCCGACAGAAGTGAAAACTTGAATATTAACGTTGTGCATTTTTGATATTTTCCAATGGTTAGGGAATAATTTTGCACGAATTGCTTTAATTATCAGTATAAAAGTACTATCATGTATGTGGTAGAATACAATATTTATTTATTGCGCTATCGTACACAAACATGAACATGTATATTATATTAAAAAAGTTTATCTCTCAGAAAAATCAACTTACATGAATCACGTTTAAGCGCACTTAGCGAAATCTATTGTAAAGAAATCAACTTACATAAATCACATTTAAGCGCGCCTATAAACGACTTCTATTGTCAAAAAAAATGCATTTTCTTCGCAATAAAACTGCCACGTGGACGTCCTAGATAAAGACTTATTACTATAATACGGTAAAATAAAATATTACTATGTTTCGTTCAATATATTGAAATTCAACAACCTTTCCAATTTTATCGTGTGTCATGATGCGATCAGCCCACGTGTTTAACCTGACGCGAGTTTAACATTTTTACCCATACAAAAAAAGTATACAACGCCGCTAAAGAAGTTTTCACTTCAAAAAACGCAACCATAACTTTAATAATTACTTTAAAGCAGGTGAGTAGAACTGCTGTATCAGCTATCTTCGCGTCTGGACTTCACCTTCACTTAACATCAGGTGGGGTGGAGTCATTTGTCGGACCTATCTTTAAAAAAAAATGAAAATCCTCAATTTTGATAATTAGAAATTATGAGTCCCTTTTCTATTTCCTGTGCACTATACAGGGTTAAAAATGATCAAAACAATGTACTTCTTTAGAATCTAAAGAAAAAAGAATGTAGAACGCAATAAAGCATCTCTTATCTAATAGACAAGTCCGTCCGTGGTGCTGTTTCAGCGGCCAAACCGTAAGAGATAGGTATAGAGAATGTTTAAGTTACAAGTTAAGAATAGTCTGATAAGACTACAAACCGGATGTGAGTAACGTAGCACTTCCGGTTTTCGATAAATCACGTGATTTCTATTTCAAACGAAACCACACAAAATCTCCGAAGTTCTCAATTAATTAAATACATTTTTTTTTTTTTGGTGAACATTTGGTTCACTGGTTTGCTAGTTTACTAATTAATACAACTCAAAATTTGACGAATTTCTCGTAAACGTTTAAAGCAAATAGTTTCATTTCACTAATGTTCGCAGTGATAAGTCACACTCGCCCGGGTGACCTTTGCCCCTGTTGTGAACTTTAGGCCGTGAGGTTATTACCCAAATATGCGGCAAATGTTACTGGCTACTTACTACTGCGACCAAAATAGAATTCGTATCCACGCGCTGACACTCGCGCAGCGGAACGAGGCACACCTCTAAAATGTGTCTTTTTAATACACTATTCTTCCACGCCTCTGTAAAAATCGGCAAGTATTTCTAGTTTTAAAGTAATAGTTGTGCAAGTCCAAAGATTTTCTATCGACACCTGACGTTATTAATTGTGCTATTAATATAGCAACACAGAAATAACCTTAGAATACACAAAATTATAATGAGGAGCTCGATGGCGCAGGTGGTTAGCGCGTTCTGTTGCGATCTTTGAAGTTAAGCAACGTTCGCAGTGGTCGGTCAGTGGATGGGTGACCAAAAATTTACTATCTCTCGCTCCTCCGTGCTTAGAAGGCACGTTAAGCCGTTGGTCCCCGCTGCATCTGCAGTCAAGCCAATCCGCACTGGTTCCGCGTGGTGGGTCGTGGCCCAATCTCCCTATTCCCTCCATAGGGAAAGATGGAGGAAAGAGGAAATGTTACTGGCTACTTACTACTGCGACCAAAATAGAATTCGTATCCACGCCATGACACTCGCGCACTTCCAGGGCCCAAAAGGTGATACTTGTCTTTTTTTTTGTAGAAAAGGTCTTTTTAACAGTTTTTTTTTCAGTTCGTTATGGTCACAACACTAACCTAACCTAACCTAGTGTGAAGTATCACCACTTGATAAGAAAAGTAAAAATTTTCAATATTTTTTTCCAAAAAACTACCAGTGCATAAGTGTGACATTTTTTTTAATAATGTGGTTAACAGAAACCTTTTTAACGACAAAAATGCGAAATTACAACCAACAAAACTGTGAAGTTTTTACTTTTGGGCCCTGGAAGTACAGTATATCCCTAGTTTTTGTCGAACATTTTGAATGTCATTATTATTAACGTACACATACAAAAACGAAAGGACACCGCTTTT